ACTTCAAATACTGGATCACAGTTGCAAAGTGATATAGTCCAGGATATTACTTTTAAACAGTATTTTTGGTTACTAAAAAGCACTATCAGATTACCTGAGAAAATTGATCAATCAAAGAAATCTATGTCAGTCAAGGATCTGAATAACAGCATAATACTTTCAGATGCCAATTCAAAAATAGTTCCATTAAATCATGACAAACATTCATTGAAAGAGAATTTGGTGTTAATGAGAATGTGTATCTAAGAAACTATGGGAGAAGGGAAAAATGGATACCAGGTCAAATTGTTCAATGTACAGGACCTGTGTCTTATAAAGTAAAAACAAATGATGGACTTATTGTCCGTAGACATGCAGACCAGTTAAAAATAACTTGTGCAGATAATAAGTGTGAATCTGTCAATCCCACCAAATCTGAACAGTTCACACCAACTCAGTTTGTTCCACAACCAAGTTCTGTTGATATGAGTGAACCAAGTTGTCTAGAGTCAGAAAATGTAAATTCTGGAGTTAATGATTTAAATCCTAGACCTCCTGAGATAGAGAATCCAAATGGTCAGAATATTGAGTCACCAAATCAAAAGCCACTGAGAAGGTCAAACAGGACAATCAAAGTCCCAAATAAGTTAGACCTATGATTTTAAAGGTCAAAAGGACTTTGACATCATTGTTTGTATTTTAATTGTGTTGTAACATATTGTGCATTGTTTGTAAGGATGTAATCTACCATAGTGTTCATGTTACAATATAATTGGTGATTTTAGGATACTATCAATTGTTCTATTGAGAGATGTGTTATTGTGTTCTAAGGGTAAAGGGATGTAATAGATTGAGATAATTGTGAGGTCAAGGGAACTCACTCTTCTGTATTAGTATTATATTTATATTGTTATCTTGAGTGATGTCCCTTACATGTTATGTATATAAGTCTCTCGTGACTTCCGTCCTCTCTTGCCTCATGGTGTGAATAAACTACTGTTAACAATCTATGTGGCTCCTCGTCAGTGTTTGCCAATCGATCACATAGACCAATAGATCTAAAACAATAGAGAAATGTAGACCAATAGATCTAAAACCATAGAGAAATGTAGACCAATAGATCTAAAACAATAGAGAAATGTAGACCAATAGATCTAAAACAATAGAGAAATGTAGACCAATAGATCTAAAACAATAGAGAAATGTAGACCAATAGATCTAAAACAATAGAGAAATGTAGACCAATAGATCTAAAACCATAGAGAAATGTAGACCAATAGATCTAAAACAATAGAGAAATGTAGACCAATAGATCTAAAACAATAGAGAAATGTAGACCAATAGATCTAAAACAATAGAGAAATGTAGACCAATAGATCTAAAACAATAGAGAAATGTAGACCAATAGATCTAAAACAATAGAGAAATGTAGACCAATAGATCTAAAACAATAGAGAAATGTAGACCAATAGATCTAAAACCATAGAGAAATGTAGACCAATAGATCTAAAACAATAGAGAAATGTAGACCAATAGATCTAAAACAATAGAGAAATGTAGACCAATAGATCTAAAACAATAGAGAAATGTAGACCAATAGATCTAAAACAATAGAGAAATGTAGACCAATAGATCTAAAACAATAGAGAAATGTAGACCAATAGATCTAAAACAATAGAGACATGTAGACCAATAGATCTAAAACAATAGAGAAATGTAGACCAATAGATCTAAAACAATAGAGAAATGTAGACCAATAGATCTAAAACAATAGAGAAATGTAGACCAATAGATCTAAAACAATAGAGAAATGTAGACCAATAGATCTAAAACAATAGAGAAATGTAGACCAATAGATCTAAAACAATAGAGAAATGTAGACCAATAGATCTAAAACAATAGAGAAATGTAGACCAATAGATCTAAAACAATAGAGAAATGTAGACCAATAGATCTAAAACAATAGAGAAATGTAGACCAATAGATCTAAAACAATAGAGAAATGTAGACCAATAGATCTAAAACAATAGAGAAATGTAGACCAATAGATCTAAAACAATAGAGAAATGTAGACCAATAGATCTAAAACAATAGAGAAATGTAGACCAATAGATCTAAAACAATAGAAAAATGTAGACCAATAGATCTAAAACAATAGAGAAATGTAGACCAATAGATCTAAAACAATAGAGAAATGTAGACCAATAGATCTAAAACAATAGAGAAATGTAGACCAATAGATCTAAAACAATAGAGAAATGTAGACCAATAGATCTAAAACAATAGAGAAATGTAGACCAATAGATCTAAAACAATAGAGAAATGTAGACCAATAGATCTAAAACAATAGAGAAATGTAGGCCAATAGATCTAAAACAATAGAGAAATGTAGACCAATAGATCTAAAACAATAGAGAAATGTAGGCCAATAGATCTAAAACAATAGAGAAAGGTAGGCTGATAGGCCCACTGGTCCAGCTATGCACTGCTCAAAAACACCAATTTTTAAAAATGTAATAATTATGTTTTGTATGTGTGTTATTTGAAAGGTCAGCTAGCGATGTTCTATGTGACGACGTTATATGTGATGTTGTATGTGACGTTATATGTGATGTATGTGACGTTATATGTGATGTTGTGTAAAACAAATGAAATCAGAATTAAAACCTACCCTCTAGACACCAAGTGGAGGCCACAGGGAAATGGTGTGTTTTATCTCAAGAATACGGGAAATGTAGCTGATGCCTTAGCTCGTTGACGGTGGGGGGGGGGGGGGGTGCTGAACAAGTTGTAGTGGCCCCGAAATGTTATCAACGAAAACAAAAATAATTTTCTTATCTACGTTTTGGGGATTTTTTTCAATTTGAATGAAATTTTGTATACTGTTTGAATGAACCAATGGTTTTTTTAAAGGTACCAACACAAAAATCTGAGTTGTCGAACACAAAGAGAATTGTAGCGACGTCTATAAGAGATATATTTATTGTAATCCTGCGACTTGTTGGGTCCAGACTAGCAGCACTATAAGTATAACATGTTTACAACAGTGAAAACAAAGAAGAGGTTTTCAAACTTTGTAAGGTCCCTATCTGAACCAAATATTCGTACAGTACTTTTTTAAAGAAAAATGATAACTAACCAAATTCGATTTTAAAGGTACTGTTAAGTAGATGCCATATAATGTATTCAGTTTCTCATGGATTTATATTCCTCATGTATAGAAGTTGAGTTCTACATTTTTTTTCCTGTACTCTTTCTTCTTCTTCTTCTGAGTTCTTAATTTTAGTGCTAGAAGAGATTCCCTCCAAAACAATCAAGTAGGCCTATACGTGTCAACTGGTTATGCGCCTTATAGGCCGTTGACTCTGAATTCAGCCTGCTTTTCTTTTTGGATTTGTTTCTGTAGCAATTGTCCAACCATGAACTAACCACAAGACTATATATATATATATATATATATATATATATATATATATATATATATATATATATATATATATATATATATATATATATATATATGTAAAAGGCCTAAATACAGGGGCACTAAATAATTTCCGCTGGGGGGCCCCGCTCCAGCCTAGTCCGCCCCTGCGTGGACCTAAGAACTATCACACACGATGTAAAAATACCCCCCCCCCCCCCCAATGGAGGTGGCAAGTATGCTGGCCATTTTTTTTTTTTTATGGGTGAAGCTGTTCACCCTCACATCTGACTTCAGCACGAGAATGAGGGGGGGGGGGGGAGAAGTGGTGAGGGGTGGTCTTATAGTCTGAGTGAGATCAGTGGCTCTCAATGCCCACGCGAATATACATTTACAGTTTTAGCTCTTCCGACATACGGAAATTACATGGTGTTAAGTTAAGGGGAGATAAAAAACAAATAACCGAAAAAATAGTTTCATCGTTTACCTCCCTTTACATAAAGTTTAATGAATTGAGCCACAAGTATTATTTTTTAATGACGGCCCGCAAACACCATTCTCTAATTGTAATCATAAGCTAATCAAACTTTGATCTTTAACTAACGGAGTAAATTAATAATATAGTATTTATTACTGCACACCGATTGATTGATCAAGGAAAATGGACAAATAAAATCAATGTTTGTTTACAAGAAAACAGAAGAGTTGACGTTTTTGAGCTTTTGACATCAGTTTTATTGGTAGGAAGTCTATTGTATGGACATTAATACATTCAAAACACGTATGCCATGTTTTTAAACTAGATCTATAATAATTTAAAACAATTTATCAAAGAAAAAAAAAACCCAAGAAAAACTGTTCCTTGCTTGAAAAATTAATCATGTCGTAGATGCGAGAAACAAGGTTAAAAAACCTGAAAATTGTTGTTTTTAAATTGCCAGATAAAATTTTAAAATTCTGAAGACATTTTATTTTGATACCATTGTAGTGCCAGACCAAACTAACTGTGGTGTAGGCTCTTGTCACGTGTCAGCCCACACGTCTGCTGCTCACAGTTACCCGATGATCTGTGAGTAGTTCTCTACTAGCCAGTGGTTAGATCAAGGATTATCTGAGTTTTTGCCCAGTAAATCTTCGATTAATTTTTGCATTTCTCAATCTATCACAGGTTTTGTTATGTTATGCCTACTGTGGACGTGTGTGCTAAATAATGTGCTAACAACCTGACTGTGACGACAGGTGATATCTACAGCACATGGTGCTAAATCATGTGCTAACAGCCTGGCTATGAAGATAGGTGATATCTACACCACCTGGTGCTAAATAATATGCTAACAACCTTAATGTGACATGTGATATCTACACCACCTGGTGCTAAATAATGTGCTAACAGCCTTAATGTGACAGGTGATATCTACACCACCTGGTGCTAAATAATGTGCTAACAACCTTAATGTGACAACGTGTGATATCTACAGCACCTGGTGATCACATTTAACAAGACACACACACCTCTGCTAATCACTTTCATTAGATCTTTGTCTAATTATCATATTACCATTAGATAATAAAAAAAAACTTTGGTCTTAAATTCATTGAACAATTGACAAGGCGCTAAAAATAGAACAATCTTGTGACTGAGAGATCAACGTAATAACTTTCATATAAAATCACGTTTTTCTCTCTCTTGTAGTGGTTTTTTCAAACGTTTATTCAGGGGAACAGACAATTTTGGACTCTTTAAATATTGACGTCATTTTCAAAGGTTCTTATTGATATTTAATTCCAAAATATTTGTTGATTAAAACAGTTAAGAAAAGTACATGTGATATCATAATCTCTGAATGAAGCTTACTATTTGCATAGATAAAACCACTTTAAAAGTTTAACAAAAGTTTAACATTAATTTGTTGTGTAAAGTCTAACATTAGTTTGTTGTGTAAAGTCTAACATTAGTTTGTTGTGTAAAGTCTAACATTAGTTTGTTGTGTAAAGTCTAACATTAGTTTGTCCTGTAAAGTCTAACATTAGCTTGTTGTGTAAAGTCTAACATTAGCTTGTTGTGTAAAGTCTAACATTAGTTTGTCCTGTAAAGTCTAACATTAGTTTGTCCTGTAAAGTCTAACATTAGTTTGTCCTGTAAAGTCTAACATTAGTTTGTCCTGTAAAGTCTAACATTAGCTTGTTGTGTAAAGTCTAACATTAGTTTGTCCTGTAAAGTCTAACATTAGCTTGTTGTGTAAAGTCTAACATTAGCTTGCCCTGTAAAGTCTAACATTAGTTTGTCCTGTAAAGTCTAACATTAGTTTGTTGTGTAAAGTCTAACATTAGTTTGTCCTGTAAAGTCTAACATTAGTTTGTTGTGTAAAGTCTAACATTAGCTTGTTGTGTAAAGTCTAACATTAGTTTGTCCTGTAAAGTCTAACATTAGTTTGTTGTGTAAAGTCTAACATTAGTTTTTTGTGTAAAGTCTAACATTAGTTTTTTGTGTAAAGTCTAATATTAGTTTGTCCTGTAAAGTCTAACATTAGTTTGTCCTGTAAAGTCTTACATTAGTTTTTTGTGTAAAGTCTAACATTAGCTTGTTGTGTAAAGTCTAACATTAGTTTGTTGTGTAAAGTCTAACATTAGCTTGTTGTGTAAAGTCTAACATTAGCTTGTTGTATAAAGTCTAACATTAGCTTGTCGTGTAAAGTCTAACATTAGCTTGTCGTGTAAAGTCTAACATTAGTTTGTCCTGTAAAGTCTAACATTAGTTTGTTGTGTAAAGTCTAACATTAGTTTTTTGTGTAAAGTCTAACATTAGTTTTTTGTGTAAAGTCTAATATTAGTTTGTCCTGTAAAGTCTAACATTAGTTTGTCCTGTAAAGTCTTACATTAGTTTTTTGTGTAAAGTCTAACATTAGCTTGTTGTGTAAAGTCTAACATTAGTTTGTTGTGTAAAGTCTAACACTAGCTTGTTGTGTAAAGTCTAACATTAGCTTGTTGTGTAGAGTCTAACATTAGTTTGTCCTGTAAAGTCTTACATTAGTTTTTTGTGTAAAGTCTAACATTAGCTTGTTGTGTAAAGTCTAACATTAGTTTGTTGTGTAAAGTCTAACACTAGCTTGTTGTGTAAAGTCTAACATTAGCTTGTTGTGTAGAGTCTAACATTAGATTGTCCTGTAAAGTCTAACATTAGTTTGACCTGTAAAGTCTAACATTAGCTTGTTGTGTAAAGTCTAACATTAGTTTGTCCTGTAAAGTCTAACATTAGTTTGTCCTGTAAAGTCTAACATTAGTTTGTCCTGTAAAGTCTAACATTAGCTTGTTGTGTAAAGTCTAACATTAGTTTGTTGTGTAAAGTCTAACATTAGTTTGTCCTGTAAAGTCTAACATTAGCTTGTTGTGTAAAGTCTAACATTAGCTTGTTGTGTAAAGTCTAACATTAGTTTGTTGTGTAAAGTCTAACATTAGCTTGTTGTGTAAAGTCTAACATTAGTTTGTTGTGTAAAGTCTAACATTAGCTTGTTGTGTAAAGTCTAACATTAGGTTGTTGTGTAAAGTCTAACATTAGCTTGTTGTGTAAAGTCTAACATTAGCTTGTTGTGTAAAGTCTAACATTAGTTTGTTGTGTAAAGTCTAACATTAGCTTGTTGTGTAAAGTCTAACATTAGTTTGTTGTGTAAAGTCTAACATTAGCTTGTTGTGTAAAGTCTAACACTAGCTTGTTGTGTAAAGTCTAACATTAGCTTGTTGTGTAAAGTCTAACATTAGCTTGTTGTGTAAAGTCTAACATTAGTTTGTTGTGTAAAGTCTAACATTAGCTTGTTGTGTAAAGTCTAACATTAGTTTGTTGTGTAAAGTCTAACATTAGCTTGTTGTGTAAAGTCTAACATTAGTTTGTTGTGTAAAGTCTAACATTAGCTTGTTGTGTAAAGTCTAACATTAGTTTGTTGTGTAAAGTCTAACATTAGTTTGTTGTGTAAAGTCTAACACTAGCTTGTTGTGTAAAGTCTAACATTAGTTTGTTGTGTAAAGTCTAACATTAGTTTGTTGTGTTGTTGTGTAAAGTCTAACATTAGTTTGTCCTGTAAAGTCTAACATTAGCTTGTCCTGTAAAGTCTAACATTAGCTTGTCCTGTAAAGTCTAACATTAGCTTGTTGTGTAAAGTCTAACATTAGTTTGTTGTGTAAAGTCTAACATTAGCTTGTTGTGTAAAGTCTAACATTAGTTTGTTGTGTAAAGTCTAACATTAGCTTGTTGTGTAAAGTCTAACATTAGTTTGTTGTGTAAAGTCTAACATTAGTTTGTTGTGTAAAGTCTAACACTAGCTTGTTGTGTAAAGTCTAACATTAGTTTGTTGTGTAAAGTCTAACATTAGTTTGTTGTGTTGTTGTGTAAAGTCTAACATTAGTTTGTCCTGTAAAGTCTAACATTAGCTTGTCCTGTAAAGTCTAACATTAGCTTGTCCTGTAAAGTCTAACATTAGTTTGTTGTGTAAAGTCTAACATTAGTTTTACCTGTAAAGTCTAAAATTAGCTTGTTGTGTTAAGTCTAACATTAGTTTGACCTGTAAAGTCTAAAATTAGCTTGTTGTGCAAAGTCTAACATTAGTTTGTCCTGTAAAGTCTAACATTAGTTTGTTGTGTAAAGTCTAACATTAGCTTGTTGTGTAGAGTCTAACATTAGTTTTTTGTGTAAAGTCTAACATTAGTTTTTTGTGTAAAGTCTAACATTAGTTTGTTGTGTAAAGTCTAACATTAGTTTGTCCTGTAAAGTCTAACATTAGTTTGTCCTGTAAAGTCTAACATTAGCTTGTCCTGTAAAGTCTAACATTAGCTTGTCGTGTAGATGAAGAACACAACAAACCTTGGCCTGATGGTGGCTGTACTGGCTAGTCTGCTGTCGTGGTCAGCTGCTCACTACAGCCCGTCAGTCTGTGAGTACTCTCTAGATTTGGCAGTCAGTTTTTTTTTTTAGTTTTGATTGGCCTGTTCCAGATCGTAGTTAATTAATCTAAAGCATTTGCCAACACAGACTAATGTGTAAAAATTCTTCAAAATTTACTTGTATTAAAACTCGCTTGTTACCCTGTGGCCCCACCCTCTGTACCCCCACCCCCTATGACCCCACCCCCTGTGACCCCCACCCCCTATGACCCCACCCCCTGTGACCCCCACTCCCAGTGACACCCACCCCCTATGACCCCACCCCCTGTGATCCCCACCCCCTGTGACCCCCACCCCCTATGACCCCACCCCCTATGACCCCACCCCCTGTGACACCCACTCCCTATGACCCCCACCCTCTGTGACCCCCACCCCCTGTGACCCCACCCCCTGTGACCCCCACCCCCTGTGACCCCCACCCCCTGTGACACCCAACCCCTGTGACCCCAACCCCTGTAACCCCTGCCCCCTATAATCCCACCCCCTGTGACCCCCACCCCCTATGACCCCACCCCCTATGACCCCACCCCCTGTGACACCCACTCCCTATGACCCCCAACCTCTGTGACCCCCACCCCCTGTGACCCCCACCCCCTGTGACCCCCACCCCCTGTGACCCCCACTCCCTATGACCCCCACCCCCTGTGACCCCCACCCCCTGTGACCCCACCCCCTGTGACCCCCACTCCCTATGACCCCCACCCTCTGTGACCCCCACCCCCTGTGACCCCCACGCCCTATGACCCCCACCCCCTATGACCCCCACCCCTATGACCCTTACCCCCTGTAACCCCCACTCCCTATGACCCCCACCCCTATGACCCTTACCCCCTGTAACTCCCACTCCCTATGACCCCCAGACAACCTGGCCCAGTATTGTGGCAGCACCATCAGCGTGTACAACGACGTCAGGATCGTGATGACCCCCAACGACAACCTGTACCCCAACACCAACTGCACGATCAAGCTCCAGCCCTACACGGGTGTGGCCATCTCGGCGTCGTTCGTCAACTACAGCATGTCACCCCAGTACGTGGACTCCTCCAACAACTGCCCCTACATATCCATCTTCATGACCTCTGACCAGGGCAACTATTTCGGTCAGTACTGTGGGGGGGGGGGGGGGGGGGGGGGAGAGTGGAGGGGGGATAGGTGTGTGAATATGTGAGGGATTGGCAGGTGGTGCGGATGGGGAAATGGTGTTGATGGTTGTGTGCGTGTGTGTGTGTGTGCGTGTGTGTACGTGTGGTGTATTCAGCATAAGGTGACGAGGTGAGTGAATGTGTCTGAACGAATGTGTGAATGCGTCTGTGTGTATGAGTGTGTGTATGTGTGTGTATGAGTGCATGCATCAGTGTGTGAATGAGTTGGTGTGAGTGAGTATATGTTTGAGTGAGTGTGTGTGTGTGTGTTCTGGAACAATCTCAACCCACCATGAACTGTGTGCTGACCTCCCCCAGGGTACAGGGGCTACTGTGGCCGGGACAAACCGCTGGGAGACTTTGACATGGGACTCCGTGGTAGCATCAGCATCAAGAACTGGCTCAACGCTTACCTGACCACCCCACAGGTCGACCTCCTGGTCACTGAGGTATTTGACCGCTACATGGACGGAAGTAAGTATATGGCAGTAGCACTAGATGGCAGTAGGTGGCAGTAGGTGGCAGTAGGTGGCAGGTGACAGTAGGTGACAGTAGGTGGCAGTAGGTGGCAGTAGGTGGCAGTCGGTGGCAGGTGGCAGTAGCACAACAGTTGGCAGTAGGTGGCAGTCTGTGGCAGGTGGCAGTAGATTTTTTAATCCATTTTAAATACTTAAACTTTTAAAAATAGAATAGAATCTGATAGAAAAAAGAATTGCGCACCAAGCGAACGCCAAATAAAGATATGTATAGTAGTGCGGAATATTATTAGTACTTTATAAATTCACATGCGTTTTTTTTTTGAGAAATGGGAAATAGTGAAAATTACTACTTGCGGTCAACGGAAATTACTCAAAATTTGATAGAAGGCAGAAAATTTGATTTTTTACTTCAATGTGAAATTTCATTTATCTATCTGAAATAGTACTCAAGTTATATGCTTTTGAAAAATTCAAAGTAGAAAAAGTTCCACTTCCGGTTATCGGAAATCGCTCAAAAGTTGATACGGATCTACGATTTTGATATAATACTTATGTATGAAATTTCATCAGCCTAGCTGTAACGGTACTCAAGTTATCGTGTTTACACACACACACACACACACACATACACACACACACAGACATACGTACAAGATTGCAAAACTATGCTTTTCCTACTCAGGGAGGTGTAAAACGTCGAGATTTGCAAAAATCTCGATTTTTTTTTTTTACGATTACAATACTTTCTCTATACTTCGTATATACGAGAAAGTAAAAATAATGAACTTTGCATTTATTAAGACAAGTGAAGTTCTGTTACAGCGGCTCATTTTAGCTTGTTTGACTACTTTATTATAGATAAACACATGCTTAAGTTTTTACAATTATTTTTTAGAATTTGGAACCCACTTCAATCTTTACATGGTCTACCACCTTAGTGACCCACATCTTGAGCTACCATTTAAGTGACCCATTCCATGACCCAGCTCTGACCATTGCCATAACCCACGCCATGACCCCTGTCATAACCCAGCACTGACCCATGCCATGACCCATGCCATAACCCATACTCTGACACTCTACTGACCCATGCCATGACCCATGCCATGACCCATGCAATAACCCATGCCATGACCCAGCACCGACTCATGCAATGACCCATGCCATGACCCATGCCATGACCCATGCCATGACCCATGCCATGACCCATGCCATGACCCATGCAATGACCCATGCCATGACCCAGCACCGACTCATGCAATGACCCATGCCATGACCCATGCCATGACCCATGCAATGACCCATGCCATGACCCATGCCATGACCCAGCACTGACCCATGCAATGACCCAGCACTGACCCATGCAATGACCCATGCCATGACCCATGCCATGACCCATACCATGACCCATGCCATGACCCATGCCATGACCCATTCCATGACCCACGCCATGACCCATGCCATGACCCATGCCATGACCCATGCCATGACCCATGCCATGACCCATACCATGACCCATTCCATGACCCAGTATTGACCCATGCCATGACCCATGTCTACCCCACAGACTGCCCGTACGGCAAGTTTGACTGCCAGAGACAGAACTACTGTATCGACGACGTGCTCAAGTGTAACGGCTATGACGACTGCGGCAACAGACGTGACGAGACGGTGGGCTGCAGACGACCACCAGTGCTGGACGTCAACCTACAGATTGGTCTCATTGCCGGGGGCAGCGTCTGCTTCCTCCTCATTGTCATCGTCGTCGTCGTTGTCGTCTGTAAGAGGAGAAATACAAAGGGAGGCTACATACAGTTTTAGGAATCAGCAAGATGGAACTGGAACCATATTCAATGAACACATCCAAACTTGATCTCAAGGGCCTTGCTGACTTGTGTATAAATAAAGTTTTACTAACAAAGCTGATCAACTAAGTTCGTTTTTTACAAGCTTTTATTTAACTCACTGTCTCTGTCGTAAGTCGTCAGTCTGTCTGTCTAGATCGAAATTTCAGACACTTCTAACTGACAGATTTGTTTCAACGTTGGCGTGTGGGTCAAGACATGAAGAAAATGCAAAATGACATTTAATTTGACTTAATTGGTTGCCTAATTAATGTTTATTGAATTAATTAAAATTTTGTCCAAATTAGTAGGCTGTCTCATCAAAATATTCCGCACTATTAAACACACGTCATCGCGTTCAATAGTTGCGCAATGGTTTTTAGCCAAGCAACTCTATTGTAAATTTAAAAAAAATAAACCGGGAGTGATCTCCCCTAAACTTTCTCGAATATTCTAATATAAAACTACAAGGGATGGCAACTCAGGACATAGACAATATCTGTAATCCATTTTTAATTACTTAAACTTTTTATAATAGAATGGAATCTCGTAAAAAAAAAAGAATTGCACACCAAGTGAAAGCCTAATAAAATGTGCATAATAGTGCGGGATATTATTAATACTTTATAAATTCACGTGCATTTTTTTGAGAAATCAGAAATAGCGTAAATTAGTACTTCCAGTAAACGGAAATTACTCAAAATTTGACAGAAGGTACAGAATTAGATTTTTTACTTACAAGTGAAATTTCATTTATCTTTCTGAAATAGTACTCAAGTTATAGGCTTTTTAAAAATTCAAAGTATAAAGAGTACCATTTCCGGTTATCGGAAATCGCTCAAAAGTTGATCAGGATCTACGATTTTGATAAAATACTTATATATGAAATTTCATCAACCTAGCTGTAACGGTACTCAAGTTATCGTGTTTACACACACACACACACAGACACACAGACATACGGACAAGATTGCACAATTATGTTTTTCCGTATCAGTGAGGTGTATAACGTCGAGATTTGTAAAAATCTCGATTTTTTTTTGCACGATTACAAGACTTTCTCTATACTTCGTACTGAACAAAATTTCAAAAAAAAAAAAACGTTTTAATAACAAACTTTTATGTAATAATGCACTAAAAAGTAGAAAATAAATTATACACTACACTTTAAATAACTATAAAGAAAAGAGTGGGTCTCTTCTTAAATACTAGTAAAGCTATCCAATAGATTCTAAAGTGACCAAACGCTTTTCTTTATTTAAATAATAGTGTATAATTTATTTTCTACTTTTTAGTGCATTATTACATAAAAGTTTGTTATTAAAACGTTTTGTATGAAATTTTTTTACAAGCTTTTTTTTTTTAACTCACAGTCTCTGTATGTCGTCAGTCTGTCGTCAGTCTAGATCGAAACGCCCGAGCGAAATAACGGGCACTTCTAACTGACAAATACGGTTCGTAGTTGGTACGTGGGTCAAGACATGAAGACAATGCAACATGACATTAAATTTGAATTAATCGGAAGCCTAATTAATTTTTTATGAATTAATTAAAATTTTGTCCAAATTAGTAGGCTGTCTCATCAAACTATACCGCACTATTCCGCTCTATTAGACACGCGTCATCACGTTCAATAGGTGCGCAGTGGTTTTTGTCATGCAACTCTATTGTAAATTTAAAACATTTAAAGTACTGAAAAAAATTCATTAAAATAAATCATAGACTACTATTTAAATAACTATAAAGAAAAGCGTGGGTCTCTTCCTAAAAATTAGTAAAGGTATCCAATAGATGATAAAGTGACCCACGCTTTTCTTTATAGTTATTTAAATAGTAGTGTATTACTATATATTTAAAGAAACTTGGGGTTTCCAAGATATCAGATTATATGGCGGGAATGTTTGCAGACGTTCAAGAAAAGTTCGAGTCCATGTTATCTTACCGAACGGCGAGCCAATCTTGTTCCATGGTTCAAGGCTAAATCAGATTGGGTCACAAGTTAACCGCTTCTATCAGGTTGGGTCACAAGTTAACCGCTTCAAAAAGCCATTAGCGGGAGTAAACAAATCATCTCACATCCTTCAGAGTTATCAGTCCTTGACTTTTGTTTTTAAAAAGATAAAAAGTGGGGAAGATACACCCCACCCTCTCCCTACCAAGTGAGTAAAGTACATTCCATCTTCACCCTACCAAGTGGGTTAAGTACATTCCATCCTCACCCTACCATGTATATAAGAAGTACTCCCTAAAACGGATGGCAAGGGAAGTACCCATTGAATGACGTGGTACACAATTATCTACTACCTCATTACACCACTTTCACTGAGGCGGGGTATCACAAGTTTGTGTGTTAGAATTCCTGCTCGAGATAAAGACACACTTTGCCCCTATCACCTGGACTTCGTGCTGTCTTTTTCTCAAAAAACTCAAGATCACGTGACTCGATTTCTTGCCTCAACACGCAGATTTGTGTCTCGTCTAGACGCATGTTGGCTCAGTTCTTGTGTGGCTGATCATTCAACCAGGCAGGGTTTCCTAATTAAAACAATAGAGTAAAAGTTGAGTACCCACAAAATGTACTTGACACGTGAGCAGAAAATATGAGCTAGACGCCAATACATCAGGGTGTACAGAACAAGAGAAGATCGATTGAAAAGACTGCCACATATTGCGAGCCAATTGATCACCGGGTGATTTACTGACGTCAACTAACCTATTTCAGTTGAATGATGGCTGGTGTTCTCCATTGCTGGACAGCGCTCCTGCTTGCGTTAGCTTGCTGCACGAGTTTGTCGTTGGCGAGTTCATCACACACGCCTCCCGTAAACGGTGAGTATCTGATAGTTCATGTTTACTCAGTGACTGTTCATGTTCACGTATGTAATCTTTGAAGTTTCACGTTTACCAAGCTGATGAATCAACAACATCCACAGACACGCTCCAGGTCAACTGCAAGAAGATTCTAGAAATTTCAGGCGACCGGAGGTTCGCTGTCTCCAAGAGCGAGATCCTCACCATCGACCAGCATTGTAGGGTGGTGCTCTCACCCAAACACGGAGATCGGCTGTTTGTTGTGTTTGAAGAGTACGACATCGACTCAAAGTACCGGCTGACCAACTGTACCTTGGTGGCTATACAGCTGGAGTCACCTACCAACACAACACTGCTAGGTAACAACAGGAGAACTTTCACTCTTTAAAACGACAGTAGGCGCCACGGTGCTCACGAGATATTCCTTGCAGGCACTATATTTCTTGGATCATAGTTTTTAGCTCGCGGGTTTGTCAACACTATCGCCCAGACTCCCAAGGGCGTGCTGTATAAAAACACTGAGTGTTCGATAATCACCCTCCGTAGTAGTGAATAAGAACACACCCAGACGACCGTTCATGTGTCAGGGGGCGTCGCAGGGCGCACTCGATAACCACCGACAACATTAGAGGACTCTGGGTACAGCCCCTTGTTTTGGTTTAAGCATTGAATTTCGTGTGGTCACACACACACACACACACACTATATATATATATATATATATATATATATATATATATATATATATATATATATATATATATATATATATATATATATATACTACACGACACAGTTTCCAGTTTGAAAAAGGTCTGCTGCATTGCGAAAAATAAGTAACAGTAGTATTATGACAGTCATTTTTTTTTTTTACAGAGGGATCCATGGGAAGTGACCAAAACTTATGTGCGATAACATTGTAAAATTTATTTAGACCTCAAAAAGCATCCACTCCACGTTAAAGTTAACTAACCCGTTATTCTTGAATAACCGTGGGTTTTTGGGAGTAATCCATAAATGACGTCGCTTTTGTTTGAAGATTTTTCTTTCCCCTTCCCACTGCCACACATTGGCACAAAAACTCAGACCCAGGATTCAAAAAGGCGTGACACCTATTTCGGCTGAGCATGGGTCTGACCACACTATCCCATTATATGCTGAGGACACGAAAACAGTAGAGTTCACCTGCCCCGTGCCCCGCCACGTCTCAATAGGCAACTTTATCATTCACATTAAAAAATTAAACACTGACATGATGTGTCTCGAACCCGTACCGTGGTATCTATTACACTATCATCTCAGCGATTAGATGCAAAAATAGTGGCATACTTTACTTAGAGTCAGCAATAGTGGGATACTTTACTTAGAGTCAGCAATAGTGGGATACTTTACTTAGAGTCAGCGTAAGAAGTTTGAGTTACTTGAAAAGGCTCTATTATTTCAAATTAAATTATATCCCAAATTAGCCAACTGAATAGCTCAACAAAGATTTATATAAAATAATAGAGGCCTGAAATACTTTAGTATAGAAACTCATTATTAGCATAGATTTCAGATCTAAAGAGATCTAGATCTAGATATCTAAATCTAGAATCTACGGCTGGCTTGTGGCTCAAGGTAAATCTCAATGAATTTGACACGGTATTAATTATTAGTTTGCTATCACAATACGGTGTTGGTTACAGATTTGCAACACGCTGTAAAATGCACGTATTGATATGCGCGAAAACTTGACGTGTTGCTGTCGGGTTTGGTTAACTCCGTCTGTGATGGGTGAACGGAAAAAAGTCACAGGAAAAAAAAAAAACACAGAAAAAAAGTCACAGTTTTTGCTAGGAAAAAAAGTCACAGAAAAAAGTCACAGTGGAAAAATTTTATCGGAAAAAAAGTCACAGAAATAAAGTCACAGAAAAAAAGTCACAAAAATCTTTTTAGAAATATTTTTATTAATTTGTTTAGAATTGTAAAATTTAGTATGTTTATTGATGTGGGTTGTATTTTTTGATAGCATAAATTATTTATAGACGTTAAAAGCATTATGATTTATAACAATTGTAAGTAAAAATACTCTAAGATAATTAACACAACAATCTGAACTTTTGTTACGTATTTAGTTAAATACGCGGTTGAAAAGTTAATTATAAAAGAAATTAAGCCACATTTTGCCGTAGGCTATTCTCTTGTCGGCCTCTCCTCAGTAGGCATTGTCCGAACATATTTTGTGTTGTTGACGTTATGCGTCAATGACAGCCTTTGAACCTTGTCGGCTTTCTGTTTTGATCCTAAGTTTTGTTATGTATTGAGCGTGATAAATGTGGGCAGTAAAGGTGGTTGAACTAAACATAACTATTGTTGCCATGAGTTGAGAGCAGCAAGTCATATGAACTTACCATTTCACGGTAATTGAATATTGGTATTTTTAAATAAAACACGACGAAAAACCTGGACTTAGGAGCATTCTTTTAAATGCTACTAATCTTAAATTAAAAATAATTAGACTACAATCTACATACTTCATAATAAATATTTTTAGACGAATTATAAAAATTCCTATGCGTATACAGCCTAAACATTACATTACATTTGATTAATCCTAAGTTAATTTACACTCTCTAAATATTTAATACATAAAAGTATTAACAAATATCATGCAAATATATATTTGTGACTTTTTTTCCTGTGACTTTTTTTCCTGTGACTTTTTTTCCTGTGACTTTTTTTCTGTTGTTTTTTTCCTGTGTTTTTTTTCCTGTGACTTTTTTTCCTACAATCCTGTGATGTATGTGAGTGTTGGGGTGGGGGTTGGTTTACCCCGTGTGTGCAATGTTTGTGTGTGTAGGGTGGGGTAATGTAAAGTAGACTGTATGGTGTAAGTTGAATGATTGTTTGTGGATCTTGATGTAAGATTTTACACACTGTCGTGTAAATATGACCAATGTAAAACAAAAGACGCTGTCGTGTAAATATGACCAATGTAAAACAAAAGACGCTGTCGACCTAACATCTTTGTCCAGGTCCCCACGGATACTGTGGGAGGGACATGCCGGCCACATGGTTTGACCTCCAGAAGCTTGGCGCCATTACCTTCACTAGATCTGACGTACATGGGCTCCATACGCCACGCATACAGCTCTTGGTGACCGAGGTCTTTGATCGGAGTGGAGGTAAGTGGTGAGTTACATATGGTAAGTGGTAGGTGTAGATGTGGTAAGTGGTAGGTGTAGATATGGTAAGTGGTAGGTGTAGATGTGGTAAGTGGTAGGTGTAGATATGGTAAGTGGTAGGTGTAGATATGGTAAGTGGTGGGTTACAGATGGTAAGTGGTAGGTGTAGATATGGTAAGTGGTAGGTGTAGATGTGGTAAGTGGTGGGTTACAGATGGTAAGTGGTAGGTGTAGATATGGTAAGTGGTGGGTTACAGATGGTAAGTGGTAGGTGTAGATATGGTAAGTGGTAGGTGTAGATGTGGTAAGTGTTAGTCCAGAGATGGCTAGTGGTAGGTTGGATACAGTCAAGGGAGAAAAAAAACGTCGTCCCCCGCTAAACAAATTTTTTGGCACCTACCTAATGTCTGTCTGTCTGTCTCTGCCTGCCTGCCTGCCTGCCTGCCTGCCTGCCTGCCTACCTGCCTGCCTGCCTACCTGCCTGTCTACCTGCCTGCCTACCTGCCTATATTGTTAAGGCGCAGATTTGTCCACATTCCCAGAGACTCCCCATGCTGTATCACCTCTCGATTTAGTTATCGAATGTAGTAGTCTCACGCATCTCAAGCGTAGGGTGCTCTTTTAAACGAATGTAAAGGTCTGCTCCTATGGTAGCCCGGGGAGCCCCGAACGACAGGGCCGCCGGTGGAGGCCCCTACTGCAGCGAGACTGATGATTCAAGTAGTTTACCTATCCCCCTGGGTAGGACACCCAATAAACGGATCCCAGGTGCTGAGATAAAAGATGTCGATCTCTTGTTCATACACATTTCCATGGAGGGCCGCCGCTCCTATTTTTTAACAAATGTTACGACTTTGACAGAAATCTGTGCGGGTCTGTACTCAACAGCTTCTCACATTTTTATGGCGATCGGATGAAGGATGTAGTAATGTATAAAAGACAGAAACACGACTTTCACATATCGAAATGTGTGTGGCCGGCTCGTCGAAAAACCTTCTGATTTAGAAGACATCTATAAATGACGTCATGCGTTTTTGACAAAAGCCAGAACCTTACCCCTAAATGACGTCATTTATCAACAGACTAGAAATAATGTTTAATTAAATTGTTTACTAATTAATAATATATTTTAATAATATAAAAAATTGATATTCTTTGTTTTTTAAATTAAAATCACCAAACAAATATCTGCTGACTACTGTTTGAAAAAATGTCCCTAACTATGTCCACTTTATCCCCCAGACTGCCCAGCACACTTATTTGACTGCACGACAAACGACATGTGCATCGACAAGTCCTTGGTGTGCAACGGTGCCAGTGATTGTGTCGGGGATCAAGATGAAGAAGACTGCCTGAGCGATGGATGCCAGGAATATTGCATTGCTACGTGGGTCTTCGCTTCACTAGTTTTTGTCTCTATTGTTATTGCAGCTAGCATTGTTGGTAACTGTGTCTATAAAAAGAAACGTGAAGGCTACAAAAATATACCAGGTCGAAACACAGAAAGCATCAACACAGAGAGTGGGTAATATTTGTCATGATCTCTCCAGCCGGTGAAGATTGTGTCCTCATTTGTTAATTAGGGCTAGGGCTATGACATTTTCTGGAGTACTTTGGCTTTTCTCTACCCATGACACATCTACGTTTGATTAAGATTTCACCCCTTGTCTGCCTGCTAATTTAATTCTATAGAATGCCTGTCGTTGTTTGTTAAATTATATAATTTTGCGGGTTTATCACTTTGCTGTGAAAGATTTCCTCGAGAGAGGTAACATTATCTCTTGAGGTAATTAACAACAGTTAACTAACAACAGTTTAATTGACGACTGTTAACGTCGGTTTCTGGTGTGTGTGTGGTGGGGGGCGGGGGGTGAGAATAGTCTGGGAGGTGAGCCATTGACAAAGAGAAAAGGGTGGGGTGGGAGGGGATGGTTATGACCTAGCCCCAGCTTTAATATTTAAAGCCTCAGCAGCAGACTATATCGAGAAGATTCTGAATCAACCAATGCTTTTATTTTTACGATCATAATTGATTTTAAAAGGAATTAATTTTTTAAATATATTTTCAATGTATTTAAAAGCTTCGTATAATAAAATTTTTAACCCAACATTTCTTGTGTTTTGGTTTTTGACACCCTGAGAACTTGGTTTTTGATGTCCTGAGAACTTGGTTTGTCTATCTGAGAGCTGGGTTGGTCTTAACTAAATCCTTCACACGGCTGGTACATTGTGTGTGTGTGTGTTTGCGTGTGTGTGTGTGTGTGTGGAGGGGAATGCCGAGAGATGGTGAATTCACATGTGGTGTGGTTATGTTAGAACGGAGTGAGACGGTGATTTTAGGGTTAATGGCACAGAAAATAAAGTAATACGAACAAAATTACAGGAAATAAACCGGGAGTGATATCTCCTAAACTTTCTCGAATATTCTTATATAAAACAACAGGGGATGTTTAAATTTTTTTTTTAAATTTCATAAATGTTCTTATAGTTATTTAAATAGTAGTGTACCATTTATTTTCTACTTTTTTAGTGCATTATTACATAAAAACTTGTTATTAAAACGTCTTTTATTAAAAAACTAGAATACCCGTCATCCGTTGGATAACTGGGTTTCGGGGGTCATCAATCAAAAAACATCACGTCTGTCACTCAGAGGCAGAGCGACCCTTCCCGGCGCCCGGGGACAAAGTTTTCGATTTGAACCCTCCCCCCCCCCCCGCAAGATTTCGATTTGAACCCCCCCCCCCCTCAAACTTTTGATGTGCACCCCCCACTCAAACTTTCGATTTGAACCCCCCTCAACCTTTCAATTTATTTTTCCAAACCATTTTGGCGCCCCAACATATGTCCCCCCCCTTCCCCCATCCACCTCCCCCCGCCTCCCCTTCCCCCACCCCCCGCCTCCCCTCCCCCCCCCCCCCCCCCGCCTCCCCTCCCCTACCGTCCCCCCCCCCAATCCTCGCTACGCTACTGCAGTGTCACTTATCGTCATAAAAAACAGACCCCACATTCAAAAATATGTTTTTTATCTTTTAAAAACACCGAAAACACCGATTTCGGACTATCCCTTCATATCCCTTCACCTGCCCAGTGTCCCGCAAGTCTCAGACAACATGTATTTATCGTTTAAAAAACGATTCCAGCCGAGCATGTCTCTGACCACACTATCCTTTCATATGCTTAGGACAAAGAAACAGATGAACTCTACTTCACCTGCCCTGTATCTTGTCAAGTTCAGATAGGCAACTTTATCATTCACATCTAAAAAAAAAATTGAAAAAAAAAATTTCATCGACATATTGGTCTAGAACCCGTGCCACCTACATGAGAGCCGACTACGCTACCAGCTTATCTATTTACTCGTGACGTCACAAGTGGATTTTTATACTATACTTTTGAGTCTCCGCGCATAGATCTAGATCTAAGTCTAGTAGTAGTAACTTTCAAATTAAATTTTATCTTAAATTAGCCAAACAAAGATTTATATAAAATAATTAAGGCCTGAAATAGATTCTAGATGTAGAATTTACATTAAGTCTAGATCTAGAATTTACATTGAGTCTAGTGACCTAGATCTAGGCTAGATCTAGAATCTAGATCTAGGCTAGATTCATAACTTTCCTTCGACAGCTGATCTTCAGATCTAGAGAAATTTATTGTAAAACTAAATGAAAAAAGACAGTTGAAAATTGATATAAGTGTTGGAACGTAATAAATACAGCAAACGGACGTATTGTTTAAGTTATAGCCGGCAGAAAATTAGCTTTGTAACGCGTTAAACTTTTGAATGGGCCACAAAGTCTATGATGGAGTCCGCCATTTTTATTGTACCAAAAAAGTAAACACATCAAGGGACGTCACTATCCCCACAAAGTTTATTCAAAGTATTAACATTTTTAAAAAAATACGGTTAATTTAACAATGAATAAATCAATAAATTAATTAACGTTGTCACAGACTGTATAATTATGTATCCTTATTATATTGTGTTTTGCATGAATGAAGAGTACCTGGCTAGCGGAAGGACTGTCTGAGCGATCGTCATGTGTTGTTTCATGCTTTTGGGTGAGATCGCTCATGTACGTAAGGGGAGAGAAAGTGGTGAATAAAAGGGAGAGCAAAAAGGTGAACGGGTGTTGTGTGCTAGAACTTGAACCTGAGGACTGTGGCTGTGAATGTAGGATGTTACTACGACACTTTGTTTCTTGACTGTGATTGTACTTATACCAGTTGTGACCATGGATTTACTATGGGTCTATTAATTCTCTGTACAAAGTGTAAATAAAGTTATTGTTTCACAACTACTGTTGCTCGTATGAGTATATTGAAGAACCCACAATAACAACAAAGAATTCATGTTGTTACATATGGTGTCAGAAGTGAGCGTCTACTGTTACATATGATGTCAAAAGTGGTTGAAGAAGTGGTGCTACTGTTACTGATTCTACTGTTACATTGTCAGAAGCAATTGAAGAAGTGATGTTGTTACATTGGTAAATTATATTGAAGTCTGAAATCGTCAACGAAGTTACAGTGTTACTACAAGTGATCAAGAATTGTCACATTATCATTGTAAGCAGTTTTCAACGTTTTTGAAGTGGTCTTCCACTGTTTACCAAGTACGTCAAGTTCTTGAAAGTCATCTATCTACACTCAAGTCAGAAGGGTTGCTGTAGTCAAGTCAGACGTCTTGTTCAAGTCAAGTCATCAACGTGATAATTTTTATCACCTTATTTCGATATTGTCTCACCAATGTCGAGTAAATATCGTCTGTGTGTTTTTTCTGTTTGGATTTAGCCGATCAAGTCTTAGTGTTTCTTTTCTACTGTTTGGATTTAGCTGTTCAAGTTTTTTCTATATGGATTAGCTGTTCAAGTTTTTCTACTGTTTGGATTTAGCAGATCAAGTTTATTTTTGTAACTGTTCCTAAACTGTTCCTAAAGATGTCTTATCTAAAACTGGACAAATTTCTACTCTGTAACAGGCTACTAGAACTATTTTGAATTTTTTCAACTTTTTGGAATCAACAAAGTGAACTATTTTTGTACTATATATGTACTATGAACTTTTCTTGGATTACTAGATGTCTCTAATCAACTGAACAAAGCCAGAATACAAGAAAGGGTATTGTAAATTAATTAACATTTATCTATTGTCAACTAATGAATTTATATTTTATGTCATAGAAAATATATCAAAATGTTATGTTTTGAAGAATATCTAGCACTAGCGAGGGCGCAAGGCATTAAGAAGATGAAGAAGCAGATAGCCTGGGCAAACACTCGATTTGACCGAGACATAGAAAAAGCATTAGAAGCATGGGACGAACAAAATGAACAACCCAAACGAGCTCATGGAAATGTATTGAGAGAACTAGATGATGTGATAGAAATAGTGTGTAATAAATCAAGAGGTATCACAGAAATGCAAGAAGAAAAAAAAATGTCAGATGGAGATAAAGTAGAGGAGACTGTACAACAAAAAGGGAAGAGAAAAAAAAGAAACAGAAAACAGAGAGCAGATAAAAGGGCTGAAACTTTGGAAAAACAAGTTGGCCTACATGAACTAGAATATAAACAAGAACTATTAGAAATGAAAGCTATAACAGACACAAATGAACCAAAATTAGAAAGTGAACAGACAGAATTTAAAGCAGAACTTGAAGAAGTAAATATTGGCAACCTTTGGAATGAAGAACAGAGTAACATAGTCCAGGAAGAATTGAAACCCAAGGATAAAACAGAGGTTGAACTTAATAATGATTTAAAGGTGACAGATACATTAGTATGTCTTAAGATTGACTCTTTTTTGAATGATACGCAGGTACACGAGAATATTATTGAAAGTTGTATCGTAAGTCCATCAGAGAATGGCAGTCAACAAGAAACAAGTCCATCAGAGAATGGCAGTCAACAAGAAACAAGTTCATCAGAGAATGGTAGTCAAAATGATTTAATAAGCCCATCAGTCAATGGCAGTGATGATTTAATAAGTCCATCGGAGAATGGCAGGAATCATGATAAACTAATGATGATTAATGAATCAGTGAACTTAATAAGCCACAATAAAGAGAACGTACCTATTGAGGAGTTACTTAGAAATCTGGAGTCAAACTTTAAAGAAGATATCCTAGAACTCAAGAATAAATTTAACAAAGAAATGGAGAAATTAACACAGAAATTTATGTGTGAATTAGAATCAATAAAGAAGCACAAGGAAGTTAAGAAAGATGAAACAGTAACTAGAAACTACAATGTCATTAATGCACAGAATGAAAGTAAAAGAAATTTAGCAAATTATGAATACAGTCAACATGTTAATAAGAATGTCATTAATGTCATTAATGCACAGAATGAAAGAAAAAGAAATTTAGCAAACTATGAATACAGTCACCATGTTTATAAGAAGCCAAAATCTAGATGTTTTTACTGCGGAAAAACAGGTCATTACCAAAATCAATGTTGGCATAGGTTGGCAAATCAGAGAAGAAACAATTATGTACACAGAAAGTCATGTGAGAAATACAGTAATTTAAGAAATGTATCAACTTCAAATCAGAATAACAAAAGTGTGAATAGGTATACTAATGGAAGTTACCGACGCAACACATATTATGAGAGGCCAAAGCAATGCCATAATATTTATATTGAGTTGGTTGATGAACCAAACCAACATACACAAAGCAAGATAACCACTGACGTTGTTCAGAAACCAGAGGAGAATATTAAAACAAATGAAGTAACACAAGTTACACGAAATCTAGGAAATGATTATGGTAGCACAGCTAAAAGCTACAATTTGAGGGAGAGATGGCATACAGGTCATCGTCAACTGCACGAGAACGATTACTCATGCTATAGAGGGTGCTAAGATTAAATTATCAATTTACAGTTTATTAATATTATACAGTCTGTAACTGTAATATATAAATATCAAACAATTTGTATCAGTAATATAAATTGTGTACTATTTCAAAAGATTGTAAACTGTATTATGTTAAACCTATTCTATACTATTAATTAACAGTGAATAAAGTAAATCAAGTAAAAGTTAGAGACTATTATTCCGCATAACAATAAGACGGAAGTCTCAATGATGAATTGTGTGTTA